TGAGTTGCAAGACGATAAGTTGAGTGTCCGGAAAGCCACTTTACCCTGTAAAAAACAATGTTTTTTTGACCATCGGTGCATTGCGTCCGGGGCTAACCCCCCCCGTTTACCCAATATGTTGCAAGCATACATGACCGGTGCTCTGAAAACATCAATCCACTTGTCCGGACGGCGCCCGTGAAAGCGCGAGCGAGCCTTGGACAAGACCTCAGCGTCGGTGTCCCCGTAGAAGGGTGTGTAGCCAAGCAGGAGCACCTGGAGCGGAGAATTTCGGCCCAAACGCGCTGGCGCTCGTGTGATGGGTCACGTTCCTTATGTTTTCCACCCAGAAAGACTACTGCAAGGAAATACTGCATCCATTGTTCATGAGACCCATGGTCAGTTGTGAACATCAAAGGGGACCAGTTGTGACCCATAGTGGACAAATGATTGGAGGCTGGACGGTTCGCATGTGGTTTCGTGTGTTTCTTGCTTGGCCTCTAGGGACATCTTTCATCTTCAACAAAAGCCGCAGCTCTAATGGATCATGCTCCTTTCTCAGTGCCCTTCCCAGTGCCTACCCGCCCCCCCTTCCCCACTTCGTCGCGGCAGTGCGGCAGTGGCACATACATGATCACTCCACACGACCAAAGGTCGCATTTCTCGTTGTACTTTCCAACAATGACCTCAGCTCTGAGGGACCGACCCCTAAAACAGCTCGGAGGGACCTGATGTGACACCGGGGACCCGACTCCGAACCCGTTGTTCGAATTCGCCGCCGAGCCACAGGGCACCAATGAACAAGAAACCATGCATGGGAGATGGGACGCGACGGTATGTTAGAACCATCAAGGGTGCAAATGACAAGTGATTTGATGGTTCTAATATGTTCAATTTTTGTTTTCTATCTCTCTCTCTCTCTCTTTCTCTCCCTCTCATGTGGAAATACACCCCGCGGGAATTGACGATGAATGCTCGAATTGGCCAAGTGAATTCAGGATGGATGGATGGATGGATGGATGGACGGATGGATGATATTGTTGCAGTTCAAAACTACATTTCCTTGCACATAGGTTTGTAATGGTTTACAAGCTTGAACAGTGTTTACGTTCGCAGTCAGAACGTACAGGTGGTGCGTGTCCCACGCACCGGTTTGGCTTTGTCTTGTCGCACCAGGGAGTTGCTCTTTTCGCGCCCGAAACATCCACAAGTGACGGACATCGCGTGACAGGACGATGCTGGTCTAAGCAGAAACTGCCAAGCAGAACCTTGTTTCTACTAGCAAACATTGTTACTTCTAGTAAGGCACTTGTTACTAGTAGCTTCTTTGCCAAGCAGAACTGCTACTGTCGATGTTTTTGTTCAGATGCAATCATCCTACCGCTAGTCGGTTCGGTTTGGCCATCGCTAGAGTCTAGGGTGGAGGCCATCGCTACTACCATATCCTACCATTCCCAAAACACTGCAGAGCTGAAAAACAAATCACCTGAAGCATCAGCTCTTGCTGGAGGCAGGCAAGCCATGGATGGATGCATTGGGCATGATGGGCATGCGGCATACGGTGTAGAATACAAACATACAACAGGATGCATTACCGATGTATATGTATGAAAAACAAAAACATAAAACATCAACAGCGAGAAAAAATATGACATAGACCAACAGCGGCAGCCTTCTGTCTTGGTCACATCACCGAAAAGAAAACCCTTCACCTACATCACCCATCATGTGGTTTCTGAATTACTCAAGATTGGAGCTCGCGCTCCTCCCCATCACCGTGGGCGACAGCCGAAGGGCGCTGTCGTCGTCGGGTTCGCGCTGCGCTGATTCGCCAAAGGCACGTGGGGCGCCACGTAGTGAGGCGTGCCGATTTTGGTGCGCATGGGCTGGCGTGGCGTGGCGATGCCGGGGGCTTCTTTGGCATTGAAGAAGCATGGTAACATCATGACTCAACATGTTTGCAGTGCAAGAACTTCAAATACTGGTGACTTATAAACTTATAAAGAACAAATAACTTCAAATAACGAGAAAGCGCACTGGACTCCAAACTCGTTCCATCCATGAAATGACCACCGGGTTTTCTGACCGCCGAAACTTGCTGCATGGGAGATCCCAAGGCCTCATCAGGCGTGAAGTTGCTGGCTGAGCCAAAGTCAATGATCTTCAGGATGTTCTTCTCAATGGGATCCTGTAATGGCAGCTGAAGCAGAAGTTGCCATGTCGCGCCACCTCCTCTCGCCGCTGACGCCCTCGCCGGAGAACCACTGAAAACCCGACAAACATGGATACATATGGATACCCAATTTTTGTTTAATGGGACTGGAATGGTTACCTACATGGATAGGTCATAAATGGGGTCAATGTATGTGACTATTCCAGTCCCATGGATGGTCTGGGATAGGTCAGTTCCACGATCTCTTGTCTTTGTCAGACTCCCACTTGTGAGGCCCCCCTGACTGGAGCATTCTGACGACAAATAAAGAAATAAACGAAGCCAGCCTCCGTCTTGAAGAGGCAATGCTCCGGCTTCAAATCGCGATGACACACCCTGTTCTTGTGCATGTAGTCGACTGCACCTTAAAGTCCCCAGTCGCGTTCTTCCCTCCGGGGATGGATATCAAAACCTGGATCCTGATCAGTCCACCATGTAGCGAAAGACCTTTAACCGGTATGGTCAATCGGTCTTTCTCGCCAATGAGTGCTCCGTCGATCTCTCATCGCGACATCCGTCTCAACCGGATCCGGGTCCCATACGGAGGATCTGCTCCATGACAACCGAAGCTTGCGCTTCTGAGAAACTTCCGGACCTGAAAAAAAACATGAGTCACGAGAGATGCACAGGCTCTGGCAACCACTCCGACTAAAGAAAGACTTGACGTTGATGATTCAGTCATAATAGGGCTCTCTGACCCTGTTCACATCCAATATGAATCACAAGGGAGAGCAACTTAAAAGTTCCCACGTGCCATGGGATGCCAAACCGTCTGCAGAGCCAGGCTCCGGGCTCGAGTATGCGATCAAACAGCTCACCCCCACTGCATAGCTCCATGACCAAATAGATGTTCCTCGAGCAGTGCATTCAGCGGTTTTGGTGAGGTTTTAGGTGAGGAGCATAGTTGGGTGCAGATGTCTGGATGCAAAATGACCTACTGTATCTCTACATGATTATATATACATACATTCTATACTAATTATATATCTATACTATATACATATTCTATATTATCTAAATGAATTCTGGACACGATCAAGGCCTCAGGAGGCGAAAACGACGGCAGCCTAAGATAGATGGTTGAGATCGTTCTTTCAACCACCGAAGCGGAGAATCCGTACGCAGCGAAGAATCTGTCAACTTCCCCACGTTTGTTCTTACGTCTGGCGTTGGATCATCCTCGCTCACAACGAGAACCACAAAAAGCACTGCGCTACTACTGCGCTACTGCTACTGTGCATGCCACTACTGGTCCTGTGGTCTTCGAATGTTTCGTAGAGCTGGATGACGTGAGGATGGCGCATCCTTCGCACGATGGCCTCAAGCTCAAAGGCATCACATCTGGACTTGTTACAGTTTGTTTCGCTTGTCGCCTGCACAATCCTTAGACTTGCCAACTTGCCAACGTTTCAATTCTCCCCAACATTCTCCAAAGAAATCAGCACCTGCTACTGCACCTGCTTCTGAAAGCAAGAGCCAACATGCCACTGCTAAGCATGGCACGATTTCCTCCCTGGAGCGCTCCACCGTTTTCCTCTTGGATTTCGACATGGCCTTCACGGCGCGAAGCACCTGCGCAGGGCCGAACATGTTTTTGGGCACGGGTTTGACATGGCGAACTTGGATCTGAAAACGGATCAACAAAGGTATCATGCTGAGAACGGAGATTGTCACAGTTCTGACTGATAGTTGCACCAGTAGTTGCACCATTGCCCGTGGCCCACCCCCAAGCTTTGTGTTGGCCTGGCTACTCCGCATGTGGTCAAAGATTAGAATCTGGGGGGCCAATCAATGTGTGACCCCCGCGCCTTAGTGGAAATGTTGGTCGCAGTGTACACTGATGCCAGCTTCTTCTTGTCCAGTTGATAGTAGTCCTGCCAACCACTGAGGGCTCGACATGGTTGCATTGCTTGGCTTTTGAATCTATATGCTTTTGATGTGCATGTTTCAATCTGGCCCGATAATATTTTTAAATTCGTCAGCTTCTGCTGTTTCAATCATTTCCCGAGACCCATGCTCAACCTCTGTCTCAGTCGCCACCCCTTTTCCCCCCCTGAAAACAGGCTGGTGTCCGTGATCTTGCCGGTCTGGTCGATGGTCTGAGGCAGCAGTGACGAGGAGAAGCACGTGATTTGATAGCAACAGCAATTTCCTAACAATACACTGTTTACAGCAAGTCAATGAAGCGCGATCTGTTTTTTCCAACGATATTTTGGAACAAGTACTCGATCCTTATCTCCCCCTACTAGCGTTGGAAACCCGCGTCCTCGCAACTCGCTACCCTCCCAAACCGCGTGACGGCGTTTGCCGGCCTGCGCTTGGCGCGGGTCGAAGCGAAGCGCTTGACTTCGCGAGGTGATCTCGTTGCTATCCGTGTCCCAAATAGAGGTTTCGTGGAGCTGTTCGTGCAGTGGTGGAGCAGTCGGAGCAGTCGGAGCAATCGCCTGGTGGAGCAGGTGAGGTTGAGACATGAGAAGCAGGTCTTGGACGAAGGAATTGAGGAAGCAAGGAACGTATCAACCAGTAGGCTTTTGCAGTATGACAAGATACACTATTTAATTTAACTATTTCTTCTCACACTTAAAAGTCAACCTGCATGTTTTACTGTTTTACATAGATATGACCACTATGATGACCAACTCCCCCCCCGAAAAGGACGTACCTCTACTAAGCTAGCGCTGCCTACAGTATGGAGTCAATTCATGCGACCCTATGTGGTGAGTTGATGTGAGTTGTGAAGCCATAAGATTTCTCAATATGTCTCAGAACGGCCAGGCGAGTTCATCGCAAGGAAGGAAGCAAAGCAACCACGAACGACAAAGCTCTTTGACATATCAATGGCTCAGAAGAATGCTAAAAACTGCTCAGGCCCTGGAAATATTTGCCCAGCCTTTGAAACTGCTTCCTCTTCACCTTCTTCTTCCTTTTCTTCTTCGGGCAACTGCTCATCTTCCTCTCCGGCATTCCGAGAAGGGCCGTAGAAGCAAGAAACGCGGCCAAAATGGAGTCCAGTGTCCAACACTCTTATCGACAGATTTCTTTCGGACCAGATGCACCGTTTTACGACGGCTGAAGAGTCGTGGGAATGGACAGCGGACCTAAACGCAACCAATCTACACGTAGCCAGACCAAAGGACGATGCGCTAGGAGAGATTAAAGCAACCACCTGCGATGCATAAGATTACTGCTCACTTGATCAAACCAAGTGTTACAAAAAATGACTTCCAAACACGTGGTGTCATCTGCCTTGTTCACTGGGGGTAGTGCCCGTCCTTGTTGGCTTCCAAAGGCTCCGTGTCACTACCTTCCTCCTGAGCCAAGCAAAAAAGGTGTGCGGCGGACCCTACAGTGCCATCCGAAACAGAATTGCTGCATGACTGCCATTACAAGGACCTTCTAGTACCAGTACTGGTTTTACTACTATCAGAATATATCACAACCTGGAGCCTGAAACGACTGCTTTTTTGGTTGTTTCTTCAAACGACTGTATATTTTTCACTGCTTACACAATGGTTCATCGTGACGACCTTCGCCGCAACCGTCACTCCTTCGCGACGACCTTCGCCTCTGCGGAGGTGCGAAAAACGTGGACCGTCGATGAATCAAACAAATGCATATATGTTATGCATGGATAATATGGCTAAATAAATAGAAAATAATATATTGTCATATAATAGTATACGGATATTACACATAGTATCCGTATGTATGGAGATACAGTGTATGACTTGTATCCCATTACCACCCATGGCCCCTTTTTGGCTGATGATGGGGCCTGCTGGCAGGCCGGCAATGCCTTTCTCAAGAAGGAGCTATAAATCGTGTAACGGAGATGTTTGACCATCCAGGTAGTGGCGGGGGCGTTGTACACCCCCCCCATTTTGTGAGAGATGTCTTAGCCGCCCTTTTGATGTCACTTCGGGCTTCGGGGCATTCGAGGTTCAGGACGATATTCCTGGTATCATGGGGATGCATGGTATGGCAGGGCATGTCACACGTGGGCTTGAAACAAGTTCACCTACTTACAGACAGGAGAAGAGGTGATTCTGACACCGGTCACCTCGATCCACTTGAAACATTGCTACATACTTGCGCAGTAGACGTCTGTATAACTATGCGCATCTCTTAATCAACATGGATTCTGTTTTCAGGTATTTCTGAATAAACACTCAGCATAGTCATCCAACTAACGAAAGGCCCTGTCTCCACATAACAAGAAAAACAACATCATGGTTCTAACAAGGGATGTTCTCAAATTGTCAAATCTGCTGCACCGTGTGCCCTTCCGTCCCCCAGTCCTTGAGCATGACCGGGCTCTTTTTCCGATCGGAAAGCTTCTCCTTGCGGAGCAAAAAACAAACGATGCACGTCCAAAAGGAGGATCATCCGAATACCAAACAGGTGGTGGTTAGGAACCACGGTTCTCTTCCATCATGAGTTCGTGTACCAGGATGAAACTGGGATCGTTTGGGTTTCTGGTTTGGACGGTTCCATGAGCTTCAACGAAGCACTAAATACTTGCTTCTCTGGGGAGTGTTTCTTCTCTTATTGGATAGATAGATAGATACAAATAGATAATCACTATGACTATGACAATGTTCATCAATGTTACCTGAGGAGAAAAGGAACAGTTGTGTTCATACATGGATGATCCACTGATCCACTTACAAGCAATCCCAGGGCGAAACATGGAAGTGGCAAAGGGTGAAGTTGTGTGTTCTCACAATTGTGTCAATCTCTTTCCACATATATATATATATATAATACGGTTAATTATACTGACTCGTAGTATTGTACTGTATTGTCATTCATCTCTGGAAGCACACCTGGCAAAACAGCCACCAAGCATTCGAGTGGCCCCTGCCCCCACACTGATCCTCGAGTTTTCGAGTCCTCCACACCGTGGAGTCAAGCGGTCCGTCCTTGCCCAGCAGGGTCTCCAATGCCGCTGATGGCACGGCCTGACCTTGCTTCTGGACGATCTGGCCGGCAGCCTCCGGGCTGACCTCCGCAAAAGCGGAACTCTCCTGGAAGCTGGCGCTGGTGGGTCCGGCTTACCTGGTTGCCCCGAGTTTTGAGGAATGCCTGGTTGGTTAAGCACCAATTTGAATCTCATTGAATTCAATCTATGTCGTTATTTGGCTGTGGCGTCCCTTTTTATCTCGTTAAAACACGCGAACCAACACCACTTGCAACTAGGACACCATTACTGTATTCCCCATTTTTTTAGCTCCCTACCTGGAAGAGCTGTTCCTTGAACTTCAGCGTTTGAAGAAATTCTAGCCAACCGCCAGGCACAAATCTGTCCACGATCACTGTCATCAGCTGCGCTCTTGTGATGCCTTGGTAGATCCGTGCGCGTGTCACCAGAGTTTCCATCGAGCCTGTCTCAGAGATCGGTTCGTCAAGACCAGCACAGATGACCATCATCATCTCTAGTCCTCTGGCAGACTCTATGGTATCCAGCACAAGAACTTCACTTGTTACCTCTTGTTGGTAGTGATGTAAGTAGCGCAAAGAACCCTCAAAGGATACCAGCTGAAGCTTGCGTGCAGCAAAGGTGGACTGCAGCTTCACTGCCAGAAGCGGCATCAACTTCTCCAAGAATTCCTGGTCCGGCACGATGATGGCCACCCTCCGGTGCAAGCTCTTCAGGCTTGGAAAGCTTCGGAGGATGTGCCAAATGGCACGGACAATGTGCAAAGAACAGAGATCAAAGGTCTTCATCTCCTGCGCATCAGCGTTGAACATGAAGGTTTTCAGAGGTGGTCCCTCCGTGCCGGAGCAGCTGGTGCTGACTCCATCGATCCGGATCTGAAACGCTTGTGCGCCAGCTACGATGCGCTTGGTACTCCTGACCACTTCCGTCATGGTCACCGTGGTGGCATCTTTCGGAAAGGAGGGATGTAGAGAAGCGGATTGTGACAGATCGGACAGTAGCAACTTCTCACCTGGAGCATCTCTGTAGATTTGGCTCATCTGGTCAGAAGCAAACAACTCGTGTGCCTCATCGAAAATGCTGAGGAAACAAGATGAAGCTATGGCAGCAACGTGCGTCTGTAAGAGGGTCTCCTCTAAGCGCCCCCCCAGGCCCCACGTGCAAACTGATCAGCCGATTGTAAGGCTCATGCATCAAGACCACTCGGGCCAACAATTCCTCGACATTGGCATCAAAGCCTTCTTGAATCCCTAGGGCCTGGTGTCTTGCAATGAGCCACTGAACAAAATGTAGTCCTAAAGCAGGGCGAGGTGCAACATAAAGAATTCTGCCCTTGGAGTTCCAGTTCTCATAGACCTTGTCGAGCGCAAATTGCACGGCGACGAAGGTTTTGCCCGCGCCTGCAGGAGCTGATAAATGCAGCTCCTTGCTGTTTGCCTCATGCAGCTGCTGAAGCTTGGATTCTTGATGTTCAGTCAGTTTCGACAGGGACAGAAGACTCCTCGCAAAATCAGGGTTGGATTGTATTTCCCTATAATATATAACCAACACACCAGCTGAATGACAACCTTCCTTGCACAACCCATTTACTTTAGGCTAGGAAATACATGGAAATATCCTAATTAACGTAGTAGATGAAGATGTGTATGGAACGTGCTTTTGACTTGAAAAAGAAACAAAACAACCTTTTGACTCTTTAGCTTAACGGCTTAACACAGCACTTTAAATGACTGTCTTCCTTGTACAACCCTCACTTGTCACTTGTCCATCTCTTTCGCCCAACACCTGCCTCTCGTATCGTTCAAAAAA